ATTATTATTATTATTCTAATCGCTAATCGTTCAGGTGATTAGTTAAAAACAAACTTGTATCTATAACTGTGCTCCCATGAGGAAGGATAAAAGAATTTGAGATGAATGGGAAATGCTTTTTCCAGGTATTACATACATCCACGGTCAACAAAGAAGAAGAAGAAAAAGAAGAAAACACTTTCCTTTTCAAATCAATTCATGGGCTCTTCTGTTAGTTCTCTTACAACAAGCCAAAAAAGAAATCAGAAAAACTGTAGTCTTTCTCTTCATCTCCATGAACGTGTGAATTCAGGGCGTAAAAGAACGTTTGAGAGGAACTTTTAATTTTTGTTAATGAAACGTGGTGTAGTGCGAACGGCTGACACAGTGCTACCACTCTTATTTTGGGCAGACGTTCGTGTTTATAAGAATCTCGACATTTTCTGTTAGCATGGCTTTTTTTTTTGCTCAGTGCAGTGGAAGCTAGCACATCTTCAAAGCACGCTCACCCACACTCAGATTATCTGCCAGTGAAAATGCTGCGTGCACTTGGCAGTGATAACAATAGCAAAGTTTCTTTACTTTAAAGTAGTCTCAGATTCTATTATGTATTATGTATATTTTTGTTGTGGGATTCCCAAGGGGCTCTTCAATGAAATGCTAGAGTTATAACTTTTTCAATTTACGTGCTGGGTATTCAGAATCCATCTAGCAGGACGTAGAATGGTTTTTAAACATGCTCTTCTGTGTATAAATACATGAGTGACCAACTGATAAATAATAAAATAAAATAAAGTAAAATAATGAAATAAGATAAAATAAATATGTCATTTAATTTACTCAGGACTAATATTCTTAGATGCAAAAATAGATTATTTTCATATTATCATAGATAAATTAAAGCGATGTTTTAGTAGCTTTGATTTAGAGCACCTACACAGTAAAGAAAAGGAAAGATAAATTTGAAATAAAGTGGAAATACAATTAATCGAATTTCCAAAAGCATAACCGAACTGCTCAGTTTCTCAACTTATTGGTAAATAGCAAGTGACACATCCTCCACATTGCAGTCAATGGATTTGCTACCATTTGCTTACCCAGTGTAAACTCTAGTATGTAGACTCCCTTAAATTCAAAAGCAAAAATTGTTTAAAAATGTTGGTAAATTTCATTCATTACCCTCAATCAGTTCAGACCATTGCTTTCAATCAATCTGTAAAAATGTATCATTCAATTGTTTGCTTGCGTCATCACACAGAAGTCTTAAAGGGATAGTTCCCCCCAAAAAACTAAAATTAGCCCATGAATTACTCACCCTCAAGCCGTCCTAGGCGTATATGACTTCCTTCTGTCAGATGAATCCAATCAGAGTTATATTAAAAATTTACTTTGATCTTCCAAGCTGTTTAATGGCAGTCAGCGGGTGTTGCAGTGCATCAGTCCAAAAGAAGAGAAATAAAGCGCATTCATCCATAATAGGGATGCTCCAATCAGGATTTTTGTAGCCGATACTGAGTACCGATTTCTTGTCATGGTGATCGGCCGATACCGATGCCGATTCTGATGCTTCAAGCTTTATATAGACGGTTTCAATGGGTGCACGCACCTGGCCCGAAGTTAACTTCCGGTCTGTGTTTGTTTATCAGTCTGGCTATGGCACCGGCTACAAACGCAGTTAAAGATAAAGGTGATGAGTAGACTAAAGTTGGGCTCAGGTGGTTGTGCTGTGGGATGCGTTTCCCATACATTTATTTATTTGTGGCGCTCACCACAATATCAAAACTGACCGATTTTCCAAAAGGCTTCGTTGAATAAACATGAGCACGCACTGCACGTTTAAAAATCAAAACGAGGTGCAGGTGTTTTTATATCACTGTATTTCTGAAGGAAGACTATCTTTAGAAAATTGTTGATGTCATTTTCATTTCATCTTGCATGTTATATGCCTGATAAAGCAGCGTTTGTGAGCTCAGCGCTGCTTTGTGTACAGCTGTTACTGGGGAAACCTCTGTTTTTGTTCCGTCCTCCACGCTGTGACAACTCACAAAAGACCATGCAGCGCAGAGAGCCGCTTCAGAAATGTGCCGCGGCTGGCTGATAAACACAAGCACTGACTAGAGCGGCTGCAATCAGCTCCGGTGGGCGTGGAGCCGTAACGCGCTGCAGACGTGTGCAGTGAGGAGCAGATCAACTCTTAGGTCACTGAATCTGCTGTTAAAAATTAACCATCTATTCATCATATCATCATGCAAAACATACACAACAATTTTTTTATTGTTTCTCGAAACGTCATAGCATTTCCACACCGGCGATGACATGACTGTGGTGCCAAATAATTGATGTCCCCACACATCATGTACGTCGTCACGCGTTGACATCATCAAATTACGATCGGTTCCTGAAATCGGCCGTTCCTGAAGATGAGTACCGATTGAGTCATAAAATATGGTTATCGGCCGATACCGACCTCTGGCCGATCGATCGGAGCATCCCTAATCCATAATAAAATGTGTCTCACACGGCTCCGGGGTGTGAACAAAGGTGTCCTGTAGCGAATCGATGCGTTTTGTAAGAAAAATATCGATATTCAAAACCTAATAATCACTTTAATCTAGCTTGCGCTAACAGTTGTACACGGAAGCAGCTCCGGGCTGATGACGTATGAGTTCATCGTTGCACATGGCCGGTGAGTTTTGTGAAAACCAACGCTTGTTTATAGGAGCAAAGGAAGCAAAGTTTCCTTACTTTAGCAAAGGAAAACCAGTCTCCTCTTGGCTTATATCGAAATCCTCCGACATTCTTCTTTACAAATCCTCGTTTTGTACTTCTAATTAGTGACCGTTGTTTTGTTTTGATCTCTCCCCTGCGCTTCAGCGTGCGTCACTTCTGAGCAGCGCATGCGCAACCCCGACGTCTTACATCATTCCCCTGGAGCTTCTTACGTTTACAGCAGTGAGCGCAAGCTAGATTAAATTGATTATTACATTTTAAATAAAACGCATGGATTCGCTACAGGAGGACTTTGTTCACACCCCGGAGCCGTGTGAGGCACTTTTTATTATGGATGGATGGACTTTATTTCACTTCTTTTGGACTGATGCATGCAACACTCGCTGACTGCCATTAAACAGCTTGGAAGATCAAAGACAATTTTTAATATAACTTCGACTGGATTCGTCTGAAAAAAGAAAGTCATATACACCTAGGATGCCTTGAGTGTGAGTAATTAATGGGCTAATTTTCATTTTGGGGTGAACTAACCCTTTAATGTGTAATTTTCCATGCATACAATGTTGAAAAATATGTAAAAAAAAAAAAAAAAACCATATAAAAAAAAAATATATATATATATATGTATTCATTACTATGCACTGTCATATAAGTGCTTATAAATGCTAAAATTAATAAAATAATTAATTAATTTAGATGGGTTTTAGTTCTTACATAAGACATTTTAAATTTACATTAATAGCTGTTTGATTAAAATTAAAGTTAATTTGATTTGAAATAAAATGCTGCATTTGCTTATATACAGTATATATATACAGTGGTGTGAAAAAGTGTTGGCCCCCTTCCTGATTTCTACCTTTTTTGAAAATAAGAAATCAGGAACATCACACCACTGTATATATATAATATACTGTGAATATACTGTATATAGATATATTGCCCAGTCCTTTCACATATAGCTTTGTGTTCTGATGTGTACTGATTCATCAAACTCACCAAATGCTGTGTTGGACCTTATTTTGTCCACATTACATACTTTTGTGGTTTGCTTCTTCACTGGAAATCAAAGTATAAAACCGGGCCCAGTAATCTGGTATTGTGTATTTTTTCTTCCATTGGGCAGGTTGCAGAGATTTCGTACTGGGACACCAGTGCCACCATGTGGTGTTCAGTCTTACAGATTTGTGTTTGGTGGTCAGTCTGCCGTGCAAGCACTGGTCAGCAACAGAGCTACAACAATGATTCCATTAGAATTAACTGCGGATCATCTATCATGCAGGAGTGGCATTTTCAGGCTGTGTGTGATATTGCCAATGCTTTTTGTTGCATACAATTATGAACTGATGCGTCTCGTGTCTTGGAAGTGATTTGTTGAGATTGTCAGTTCCCTTAGAAATCTGTGAGTTCAAAGCAAAAAATTCCAGATTAAATTTTCATATTTTAATTAAAGTCACGTTCAAAAATCAAGTTCAATTTCCTACTTTTTAATTATTCCAATCAAATTCCAACTGAAGTGAACAGATTACTAAAGTTATTTAATCAGAAAAAAATTAAACAGTGCCACTGCTTGTTAGCATCAAAAATATGGACTCATTACTTAAATATTTAAATTATGAAAAGCATCATTGGGAGCATAGATATAGCGGCCCCAAAAAGAGTTTGCATAGTTAAACCACACTTTTTTTATATAATGTTATAAAATAAAACAGGTTATTGGAGTATGTTTTACTATTAGTAGTACTACTTCCAGTTTTAATGTGTTAATTGCCTTTTCTTTTTAATTATTTGTGAAACTAGCAATTTTCTAGCACAAGCACACTTTTCATGCAAACATTTAACAAACAAAGGTTAGTAACACTTTAGTATAGGGACCGATTCTCACTATTAACTGATCTAGCAGCATTTGTGTGCACTTGGTTTAATAGTGTATTATCTAATGCAACAAAGAGTGTTTTTTTAGAGTAGTCCAAGTTCCATTTTGTGGCCACTGTAAACCAAATGCATTTATTTCAAAAGAGGTAAAAGTGATTCTGATTGGAGATTTGCCAGGCAATCCAAAATGCCAAGTCATCCATTGTGAATTAGGAAGTAGTGGTGCATTCTTGGCAGCAAAGCACCTCAAGCTAGGTGTTCCATATACATGAAATGATTTGTGAAGTACAACTGGCCCAAGAGCCGAAGAGAAGTGCTAATGCATTTCAGATTGGCCGGTAGCTTCTGTAATCACATTCATATTTTAATATCACTGTGTGTGTTTGTGTACGATGTAAAGGCAGGGACGACACGGGGAGTGATTTCCAACTCTTTTATTAACACAAAACCAGGAGAAAAGGGCAAGCACATGAGACGAGGTTAAGAGGAGCACTGATGGTATCGTGGCTGTAACTGGGGGCTAAGTGGAGGTCCTGCACTCTCAGGCCATCCATCCACCGGAGAAAGCAAAAAAGCCTCCGGATTCCAGTGGCTAACTGAAAGAGCAGCTTTTAAACATAGATTTAATAAACTAACATCAAAGCTTTCCCCCCAAGCACCTCAGGGGAGAAGGAGCCAAATTCATTAGAGGCCCACGCAGCTTAGGCAACCCAGATGACAAACTGTTTCACACATTTTTTTCTTGGCACTAAATATAACTTGCCTTACCCTCCCTCACACATACTCCCTACTCTCTTTCTTTTCATACTAGATGCTTGCTCATTTTATGATACGATGATGCATTTTGGGTGAAAAATACTACCTACTTTACAATTCTACTCTCTTTATTCCCTGATTTATGCACTACAGTTCAATCACAGTGTTTGCAAGGCAGCATAATATTGATATTCCTCAATTATTCTGGTCAGAGTTTGAGCGATGCACAACATATGTGTTGATATTATAGGTTTTTACTTTTTTTGGTCTTGATCAATATTGGATATTATTTGTGCATGTTCACTTCTGACTAATTTTTATGCTTAGTTTAAATTTGCCATTGTCTAATGCTCACTTAACGTACATTTTTAATAGCATTAATAATTTATTCTTTCCTAGTTTAATTTATAATATGAAGATGATGCCTACATTTACTTGTTGATTTTATTTCAGTGTTTATTTATTGCACAAAATACAATTTTACTATGAATTATTTATTGGTTATTGGTCGTAACATCAAAATAGTGATCAGCATTTTGGTATCAGGCAGAAATTTCATATCACTGAATTCCTAAAGTTTTGTTCTAAACCTCAGACTTAAGTAGTTCTACAATGTGTTCAGCCCAGACCACTTTTCGTACAGGCACATAATTGTTTAAGTTTTATTTTTATTTATTTACTTATTTTTGCATACCAGATTGCAACTGGTCTTGTCTTCAGTTAAAGTGTGTAAATTCTCCATCATTAGTGTCACCAAATGGAATAGTTTTCAACTAGGTTTCAAGCACTACAGCACAGATGAATAACCCCACCCTAAACTCACAACATTGGTTGTGCAAAAGTTGATGTGTCGAGCTGGTCTTAATGCTCAAACAACACAGAGTCAAACACTGAATCGGAATATGCCTACTTCTGTTCTTGTGGAATACTACTTCTTCCATAGTATGCGAAAATCAGTACACCAAAAGAGTAATAGGTCCAAATTCATAGTATTTGAAAAACAGCAAGCAAAAAGTACTCAGATTACCTACTTTATCTACCAAGAATCGAGGGTGCACATTGGATGGACTCTCAACTATCCCATGAAGCCGTAGAAGACAAGTTTTGAATGGCAGTGAAGCAATCACATTGATGCTGGTAGGTCAAGTGACAGTAAGAACAAGTGTGAATTTGATTCATACTACCCATGTTCATGATATACAGAACATACTTTTTTTAATGGTTGTGAAGTAATTTTCAAACAAATGTAGTATGCACATTTACTCTTTTATAGCCATATAATGAACTATGCTGATTCCTGTTTACAGGCGGGTGGAAACATGATGTGCTGTGTCATGATGTTGGCAAAACGGCATTTTGTTTACACCAAATCGAAATTAAAACCTTAACCTAAACTTCCTTTGCTGCCTTGCAAACACTGATATTTCCTACCAGAAATGTAAATCTAGGTTTTTTGTGCTGTTGGGGTGAGCGAGAGGAAAGAGGTGTGCTGTTACTTCTTCCTGGTGGGAGTGGGGGACTTCATGCCGCGGGGTGGTGTAGAGGATTTGGCATTTTGTGGAGGAGCCAGAGACTTGGCCGCAGCAGGGGCGGGGGTGGCAGTCTTGGCAGTGGGAATTACGATGGGAACTGTGGGAGGCATGATCCTCTTGGGTGAGGGTGTGGGTTTGATGTCTGGAATCTTGTCGCCGTGTTTGTACACGCTGACGATGATGTCCACCGACTCGCCGCCGTACTTGTTTAGGACCGTCATGGTGTACTTGCCGGAGTCCTCCAGGGAAATGCCTATGATGGTGAGGCTGGCGAACTTACCCGAGTCCATGGCAATGACGTACTGATCACTGAGTTCTAATTCTTGATCGTTCTTAGACCAGCTGACCAGAGGTTTGGGGTCACCGCAGACTGTGCAGGTCAGACTCAGAGTCTGAAGAAAATAAAAACAAATGCATAAACGCATATTTCATCTAAAAGCATCCTCAGGGAAGTAGGTTGTCATTATCAAGCTAAAGGCATAAATATGAGAAACAGCATGACTACATTAAGCAGATGCGCATAATTCTGAATGATAATATGAAATTCTGATGGTGCAATGGCAACTAAAAATCCTATGCATCTGTCTTTAACATTAAGAATAAATGTATAAAATATATTTTTTATATGTACTTGATATTTTACATATATTCAATATTCTTTGGACATATGATATGATTAATGAAATATATATATATATATATATATATATATATACATATATTTAATTAATCATATCAATTCAAATTAAGTGAATATAGACAAGTTATCATTCATAAAGTGACCATATCATTTTTTTCTGAAACCCTTTCATTAAAATATTTCCATAAATTAACACATAAATAAAGACATTTAAAATGTACTGCAGAACAGGATTTACCCTTTTTATTAATTTGTTGGTCTATACCTTCTTGCTGCATTTCTTCACCTTAAGAATTTTACAGTGAGAAACCAATTTTCTGAAGAATGTTTCTAGCCTTTACATGACAGCATGAATCTAATGCTGTTTTTAGATTTATGTTGCTTCTATTTTGCCACAGTTATATTTTTTCCAGTTTACGTGACATATTTCACCGTAATGGATTTCAACAAAGTGACTCGTTTGGGCTTTCTTAGGGAGAAGAGCAGCTCAATGAAAACTAAAATATACAGTATGAAGCCCTGCGGTGGGGAGCTCTCAGTGGAAAACCAGTGTGTATGTGACCTCTGCAGGTCATCATGTGAAAGGTCTCTCCTCTCACATGAGTTTGCTTTAATGCAGTGGTTTTCAATCATGGTCCTGGGGACCCATCGCTCTGCACATTTTATATGTCTCTCTTATCTGACACACCCAGTTCAGTTCATGGAGCTCTCTCCTAAAGAGCTGGTGATCTGAATCAGGTGTGTTAAATAAGGAAGACACACAAAATGTGCGGAGGGGTGGGTCCCCAGGACCAGGATTGAAAACCGCTGCTTTAATGGATCTAAGAGCCACTGACCTGCTGTTTATTTGATCTGAAAGAGAAAAGGATGCCGGGTGTTTCCAGCATCAACTATTCAGGCGAATCCTAATCCCACCAATATCCTTTCACAGGCAGAATACACCATATTCCCCAAGCTGGCTTCATGCTGCTTGCAAGCAATGGATTATGAAGCCAAAGACAAAGGACATGGATCTTAGGGAGCGGAGGAGTACGACGCCCTCCAGCGCACACTCCCAGGGCTGAAGTGAAAAGCCGCAGAACGGCACTCACCGGCACGACTGCCTGCGGCAATACAGATCACTAATGTGTTGGCTACAGCTCTCCATGGGTGACTCAAAGGAATGCGCTGGGTGCAATACAAGTTTAGGTCTACTGACAACATTTGAGGCATAATGTACAGAACATAATGTTGACTCATTGCTCAGTTTCAAAAAGCAAACAAAAATCATGGTTAAGGTAAAGAACATTCAATTGATATCTATGGGGACAGTGTTCTGGGGGTTTCTAAACAGAAACATGAAGTGCATAGTATGGTCACTTAAGTTTGGGGACTAGTTCTCACAATTAACTATTAACTATAACTTTTGCCTCAATAAACTCCTAATTTGCTGTTTATTAATAGTTAGTAAGGTAGTTGTTAAGTTTAGGTATGGGGTAGGATTAAGGGATCTAAAATATGGTCATGCAGAATAAGGCATTAATATTTCCTTCTATATACTAATAAACAGCCAATATGCTAGTCATATGCATGCTAATAAGCAACTAGTTAATAGTGAGAACTGGTCCCTAAAGTAAAGTGTTACCCATCGTTTTAATACACGGATTATTCAGTAAAAACCTTTTAATTACTTAAAGACATTTTTATTAAGTTGCCTAAATCATCCTTTTGATGATGACTCATTTTCTTCTAGGTAGATTAACTTTGTTTTACAGTAAGGCTTCATAAGTCACCGGACGTCTGTGTGTCTTTGGGTAAATATCTTGAATTATTATGTGAAAACTAGTTCATTGTTTGAGCTGTAAAGTTGCTTTTGTTGGACTATCTGTCTAGTTGGATGAACATGTGCTTGCGTTGGTTACTGATATAATTAGTTAGTAATTTATTAGTAGATTGCTTCAAGTAAAAGATCCATTTCAAGCTATTACTGTGCATGTAATGCAAAACCGAGTTTAGTAGCTTTGTGGTCAAAACATTGTAGATTGGATGCAAACTCATGCCAACACTTACCAAGTTTGGACACAGTTTGGCAGAGTAAAAGCTTGGACACACTAAGCTGAATTAGTTTCTTATGATCTTAAAAACTTTTGATCTAAAGGCTTTTGCTTACATTCCTGAAAATAGGTTTGTAGACAAATATCAATTGTGACAACTTCACAAACCCATTTTTATTGGATGAGTTGGAGCAGATAGCGAGGGAAAAGCAGCCAAAACATGTCCAGCCTACATGTGAACACCTGCAAAAGTTGTTTAAAAAGCATCCCAGAATGCACTTCATGAAATTATTTGAGAGAAAGTCCAGAATAAGCAGAGCTGGAATCTAGACAAAGGGTGATGATTTTGAAGAAGCTCAAATTTGGGAATATTTTACTAATATATATATATATATATATATATATATATATATATATATATATATATATACTTTAGTTTATTTTAGTTTCTT